TACGAACGAATGTGACTCCATTGTGTTTTTTTTTTGTTTAGGAATTACTTACAAGGCATAAAATACTCAGCGCCGAATTTTTAGAGATAAATTACGATAAAGTTTTCTCGCACTATCAGAGGTTACTCAATTCGGAAAATTATGTAACACGACGACAAAGTTTGAAGTTACTCGGCGAGCTGCTGCTCGATAGACACAATTTTACCGTAAGTATTCGAACCAATTGTTGTATAAGCAATGTTATTTATGTATGTAGCACATGCGTGACAATAACTTTTGTAACACATTTTTTTTTATATATTTGATTCCAAAATAAAATAATTGAAAATATAAATTAACATTGCGCGAGTAAACGTTACAAAATAAGTTTAATAAAGTAGAAAATACACGTGTACAACATTAGAAACGTACAAACTACAGTATATAAACAGATAACGTACAAAAAACTATTCTAAAAAATAAGAAAGTCTTTAAAAATTAACGTAGCATAGTTTACGTACACATAAATTCTAAAAATCGATGCAACTTAATTTTTACATATATTAGAGAGAGAGAAAGATTGTACAAACAATGTCGGGAAAAAATTTAGCTTAGAAATCCGTGTATAAGAATTTCTGCAAACTTTTTTCTGGCAAATATGCAAATTATCTCAGTTAGACTTTATATAATGGAAAAAAAAAAAAAAAAAAAAACTGTTGCAGGTCATGACACGATATATATCGAATCCGGATAATTTGAAGTTGATGATGAACATGCTAAAGGAAAAATCTCGAAACATACAGTTCGAGGCTTTCCACGTCTTTAAGGTACGGCGGAATGGTCACGGTGTGATCATCAACTTTGTATTTTGAAATTTGATTAATTTGTTAGTCAATTAAGATCTCTCGCAATTTTTCTAAAGTAGTTCAAATTAGTTAAAATCAGTTAAAAATAAATTATATCTTCTTTCCTCCCTGTGATCTTGATATAAATAAAACAAGAAACAGGAAATCAAAAATTAACAGTTCCATGTGGTCGTCGTGTGCAGGTATTCGTCGCGAATCCGAACAAACCGAAACCCATCCTGGATATATTGCTCCGCAATCAGGAGAAGCTGATTGAATTCCTCACGCGCTTCCATACGGACCGTTCCGAGGACGAGCAGTTCAACGACGAGAAGGCGTATCTGATTAAACAGATCAAAGAACTTAAATCTGTACATGATAATTAAGTCAAAGTAAAATACACTTATTGCTACCGCTACGAACTAACTACCACTACATTATTATTACTATCGAGTCTACAGCTGCTGTTGCTAATTACGGTTTTTGATCACTATTATATAGTTATAATTTATCATCTCCGCATCGTTATCACACTCATTATTATTATCATCATTCATTATCGTCATCATGATCATCTCATCACCATCGTCATTTGTCACGTTGTCACACATGGTCATTTCACGGCATTATTATAATATATATAAATATATTATTATTAATATTATTAATTTTATTTGTGAGTAACACACTGTAAATAAAGATTACATTTATCTCTTATTGTATTATATGCAGATCCGAATTGTCATCGCGCGTTGCCAGTGTTCTGCCCACGTTTTTAGAAAATGAGTCGGTTATTAAAGCAGAATGAAAACTCATTTGTCTTGATCTCTCATTTTCTTGATCGGTCTTTAACATATTTGAAACCTAATAGCAGTAGTAGTAGTAGTAGTTGTTGAAGATAAGATTCGCGTTTCACCGAAAGTCTATAGTTAACGTTACACGTACTGTAGATTTGCAGCACCGGCGGTGAATATCGAAATTAGGAGGCCGAAGATACGTAAAACAAAAAAGAAGAAATAACAGACACATATTTATGTTTGTTATATATTAACCAACCTTATAAGTTAGCGTCACAAATATTCTTAGTAATAGCTTCAATGGCGCAATTGATGTCGGTAAAAACCAGCGCGGAGTTGGTTGTATTATCGAGCTTATTTTCCACAGACTTCGATTTCTGAAGCTTCGTCGTCACTGACTTGGGCAACTTCTGTTGAGTATTCTGTATCAGCCAACTTATTTGCGGACACGTCGCTAGCGTCTGTGAAACATCGAAAATCCAAGAATTGTAAAAACTTCCGGGTCTCGACTAATGTTGAATATTCCACATTAGCCGACTGATTGGGCAAAAAATGTGTACCTTGGCGTAATTTTCGTCCTGGCTGAGTAGCCATATCAGAGTGGCGCAATACAAGAACACGTCCTTGTGCTTCAACGATATGTTCAAGAGCTTCACTAACGTCAACGCGTGCTCTTCCTAGTGATAAGAAAAATATCGTGCATGTTTTTAAAATGACGCAGCGAGAGTAAACAATGTAAAATAGAAAAATGAAGCTCTTCTGCTTTCCAAACCCCACCTTAACAACATATTTTCTCGTGTCCGGGTCCTTTGCTAAGGTGATTAAAATGCTGCATGCTTGCTGGCAGACGTTCATCCACGGCAGCGATCTATTGTTCAGCAGTATCATGTTGTAAATATCGTCGGCCACGTTCACCTCGCAAAGGATGATGCGAACGGTCGGTGACAATTTCGTTATAGTATCTAGTACGTGACAGATGTAAATCATTTACGTTAAAAGCTACCAGAAAGTTTATTTGTCATTTTTTTAAGAAAACTTCAGAATTCTTTTGTAAAATTGTAAAATCCGAATTTTACTCATTCGGAAAGTTTATACGTTGATCATGCGATATTAAATTTTTCAAGCGCAAAGATGCGCCACTTACCCAAGTTGTTCAGATAAAAGTTCAGCAACCCGAGATCGCTGCAGGTTTGTATTGCACTGATCACTTGTTGCCAATAGGCGCTATCTGGACGCGCTATACTCGCGGTATCTTCTTGAAGCACATGGAGTGCTTCTTTGCACTCGTCTCGAATCTTCATGGCCAGCGATTCCTCGCGCTGCTGTCGGCGCAGTTTTTCCTCTTTTTCGGCTCTCTTCCGTCTGTAACGACGCTGTATCTTGATCACCATTTGGCGCAGAAACAGATAACGCGATCGGTCTCGTTTACGCGCGACGTAGGCTCGCCAGTAAATCTGTATGGTCAACGCGGCGTGTTTGACGGTCTTGTATCTACGCACTGCAATTATCATTCTGTAACGCGACTGAACGACTATCGCGGCCTGGCGCAAAACGACATATCGTCTTCTCTGAAGTAAACCCTTCCAATGAGCTTGGAAAACGACGGCCGCTCGCGTCCGCATAAGTTCTCTGTTCGCTGCGCGAGCGGCTCTTATAGCGCGCCATCTTCTTTGCACGATCAACACGCTGGTTCTGACCTTGTTATATTCGCTTTTTTGTCTGATCATTCGCCACCAAGATTGCAGAGTGACGCATGCTTTCTTCTGCCTCAGGTATCTCTGGCGATCCGCGCGAGCCAGCACGACGCCGCGCCAGAAGTTTTGGATTTTTATCGCGGCATTTCTCATCTCCAGGTAGCGTTGCCGAACAGCTCGCGCCAATTTGGCGCGACGATACCACGACTGTATCAGCGAGGCTGCTCGTCGCTGCTCCAGATAGCGTCTTCTGGCTGTTCTCGCTCGCCAGTTCTTTTGAACCGCTAACGTTGCGTTTCGCAGTCGCAGGAATTCTTCGCGTTGACGTCTGGTGAGAATGACTTCACGCCACCACGTTTGTATCTTCACGGAGGCGGTTTCTCGCCTGCGGGCTCGGTGAGTTCTCCACCTTCTCTGAATGACAACGACGCTTTCGCGATACCGAAGGAACTTCTTTCTCTCAAGCACGCTTGTCCACCATATCTCTATGGTTCGCACCGCAAATTTCACCCGCAGGAAGTTGTTACGCGCTTCTCGCATTAATAGGTATCTTCTCCACCAACTCTGGATGACACGCGCGCTTTTCCCGATACGAAGAAAGCGTTCGCGCTGTTCCCGCGCGATCTTTTCGGACCTCCACCATGACTGTATTCTCGTGGCAGCGTTTTTGCACGCGAGATACTCGGAACGTTGGAGTTTCATCGCTCGCGTCGCTTTCCAGTGTGCCTGAACTGTTAAGGCGGCGTTCTTCAAGCGCAGAAACTCATTTCGCTTTACCTTCATCAGCAACGACGCTCTCCATCTTCTCTGTATTGCGGTCACCGCCCTGCGTCTCTTCCTCGCTTCCTGCAGTTTCTCCCTGAACACCCGTGTCCGCCTCCAGTTTCGCCACCATCTCTGAAGTTGTATCGCAGCCGTTCTAGCGCGTAAGAATCTCTTGCGTTCCTCCAAATTAAAATCGACTTCGCGCCACCACGGTGGCGTCAGTTTGCGTCGCCACGCACGTTGAATCACGAGCGCGGCGAGGTTTCTGCGCGCACGCAAAAATTTCTTTACGCAAATATACCAGAGCTGCGCTCGCCACCATTTCTGGATCACACGGGCCGACCGGTCGAATCGCGGCGCCTGATACTTGTGAATGATCTGCCATAGAAGTGACAACGTCTTCTCGCAGTGGCCGTCGGCGATGCTCTTCGCGTCTATGTCGCCCTCGAGGACGTAACCGGCGTCGCGCAGAGCGTTCAATGCCACGTCCACATTGTGGATCTTCTGTAGACGCGATATCGCCGGCACACGACAGCGTTCCGTCAATCCTCGTCGGCCGGTAATGAGCTCCATGGCGCGACACAGTCGCACGCCGTCACGCAGGTCGTATCGTATATTCGTCACGGCGTAGTCGTATTCTTCGATGTAAGTCTGTCGATAGGTGAGCACGTAATTGTGACTACGCAGCATCTTCGTGACGTCGCCGATGCCGCTGAGAACCTCGCGCGAGAAGCTCAACAAGATCTCACGACTCTCCTTGTACTCGGAACGTTTGTGGAACAGACACGGGTCGTGACCGATCAGCTTGCGTTGCTTTGCGTAATCCAGGAAATACACTAGGAAGAGAAACTTCTTCAAGATGAACTGGTTCATCGTCGTGACGAGTTTCTGACTCGGATTGGTCTTGTGATAGCCAGACATTTTGGTGATTCGCGGATCCGAGAAAAATCTGTTCAGCAGAAAGCGAGTCAGGCCGATGATGTCGTTGTTGGAGCGCAATGGAATGCACTCGCCGTAGACGGTCTCCAGACCAATGCGCAACCACAGTGGATTGTAGCTTAGGAACAGGCTCAGTATAAGTTTTTGCAAACCGATATCGCGTTGTAGATTGCGATCCGATCTGATGGACAAAGTTCCCTTGGCGATATATTCGCTGGTACTTGAGAAAATCTTGGCGATTTCGTCGCGAGTGTACATGGCGCTCGCAGCTTTTCGCAATGTGTTCAATCTGGTGCTCGTGTGATACCTGGCGGACACGGCCTCCCTCGTCTCGGCCAGCAAATTGTCCTTTTGCGCTTTGCACGACTGCCAAATCTTGCCGATGTCTATTACAGCGGTTTCAATGTCAACGGACAGATCCTCCGGCGACGAGAGCAGAGCGTTCAACCACTTTGTGAACGCAAGTTCCTGTCGCAGCATCCATTTTTCGTCGCAATATCCGAATTTCTTCAGAAACGGGTCCTCGGTCGTAGACAGCGCGAACAGATCCAGCTCGAATTTCTCGTAAATGAAAGATTCGTCTTTTCTCTCTATTCTGGTGGATTCTCTGAAAGACGACGAGTGCCACTTAGTCTGACTCAGAGCGTTGAGAGACAACTTGGTCAACTTGATTGCTGGAGTATTTTTTCTTCCGGGCGTACTGTTCAGACGCAATTCTTTGTGTTTTCTCCTTCCGTCGTACACAGGTTTGTTCTTAAAGACTCTACCTGGATTACTCAATTTCGTCACCGACGCGGACACCGTCTTTGAGAGAAGATGCGATTTCTTCGGCGGAGAAATCTCGATATACATATCCCCCGATTTCCTTTTCTCGGGAATTATTTCGAAGACGAAGTAGTCTTTGGGAGTTGTCTGGACGCCGCGATCGATCGTGTCTATCGCGAAACGCCTCGATTGTTCGCGAAAATCCCTCGACCCGTCGCAAGCGAAGTGAGTGATCGGAGACGATGAAATTATGTCCGTGGGGCCGTTTGCGAGGGAACATCCGTCGAATTTGATCGGCGACAAATTGTACACGCCTACGGACTGTGACAGAACGTTGTTGTGGGTGGTCTTCGCGATCGTTTTGTTGCAGGAAGGAGACAGCGCGGATACGACGAACGATTTTCCAGGACTGATATTGAACGTTCTGTGCTTATCGCCACTCTGGGACGATGACTCTTCCATCGATTCTTGTTTTGACGATCGCGGAGAACTCGGTCGCGCTTCGTTCACAGAGGCGAGTGTAAACTTGTCCAGCAACATAGAAAAGTCAGATTGCGGCTTGTCGCTCGTCGTGTCTTTGGGAACTTCCTTTTTTTCTTCTTCTTCTTCTTCTTCTTCTTCTTCGTTGTGTTCGTACAGTACGCCGCCGTAGTGTCTTCTTTCCTTAACATACGTGACTCTGCGCGAGTCCTGCAACTCGTTTGAAGGAAGCAAAACCTGCGGCAGGATACTACCGTCGTTCCACACGTTTGCATTCTGCTCGTACAAAACATTCTCCATTTTAACGGAATGACGATTGACTCCATCATTTCTTCCTTGTAACGCGCCAAGCTTTGTCTCACCGTTTGCGCTACATATGTTTTCCTTGTTCGAACCAATTTCGTATTTCGATCTGGATTGTTTCGCCTCAAAGTGAGTGATCAGTCGTGGTTGATTAAGAACGGGAATTTGTATCTCATTGTTCTGCTGAACTCGTTTGTTGCTTATCGACGCGGCATGATTTGAGAAACCTGACGACAGAGGCTTTGCTGCTTTTTTCTGCGGCTTGTTGCTTTTTTTAAAGCTCTTGGCGGTTGTCGCTATGTGAATGTTGTACTTGACTCGTTTGTTGTCCGTGAGTTGCAACACATCTCGCCAACATCCAGCTTCCCTGGGGGTCCATTTGATATAAATCACGCCAATGTCGTTCCCTTCAATGTCTAATTCGGATGAAGTCAAAGTAATATGGCGTTCCGGCGCTGGTGCTTTTGTTACAGTTACCTAAAAACAAAAGAAACTTGTTAGAACACAAAATACAAGATCATGACCACTTGTCGCAATAAAGTTTTCTTATGAGTTTCCTACGTGCAATAACTTGTCACACGTGTTCTTTATATTTAAACAACACTCTGTGCTGGTATTTATGTTGGTTTCCAATTCAATCCTTGTTGCCTGTTGAAACGGTGCGAGCAACACATCGTAACATGGCATATCCTGAGGCTTCATTGTTTCAAGCTTCTTGCATGGATTGAGGTAGTGTAAAAATCTGCGAACAAACTGCAATTTTACGAATCAACGTTAATTTGGATTCTGTAACGTCTAGTGAGTCATCAATGACAGACTGTATATCATTAAAAATAAACAAACTACAGGTCTTGCCTCTTTCAAGACCTTCTTAGTCGCTTGTTTCTGAACACTCGTGCGTTGTGATCGCAGAGTCTCTTTGAGAAAACGCTCGGGACTCGCTGGTTCTTCGCACAAATATTCGGAAACGAGGCGATTGATCGAAAAACAATTCGATAATAACTCTCTCTCAAATCTGTCATACGCAGCTCGGTTATTCAAAGACGTGCGCTCTCAAATTCCGCGAAATATCGCGAAAAAACTTTGGTCTTTGTATTTTATCGCAAGTATTAAATCGTACATTACCGTGCGATTAAAATAATAATAATTTACCTCACGCGAGCAACAAATACAATAGACGAAACTGTCACTCGGGTTGCGTCAAGTAACGAACTCTCCGAATTCAATTCAAACGCGAGCTCGTAATTAGCAGGGTTGTCAACTTTCAACCACGAGTTCGGGTCAGCGGAGCGCCGCCTGGCGAGAAAATCGGCAAACTAAAAACATGTTTCGAATGTTTCGAAGAGTCGTTCTATCTTTGTTCCGTTATTTACGAGAAATAAAGATAGAACGATGCTTCGCAAAGACTGGCCGGTGCCTAAACAGTTAAAGGGGCACGGTGCCATAAGTGCAAAGAAGAAGAAGAAGTAGAACGATGCTTCGAAACATTTGCGGTGAGGCTTTGGACCCGGCACCCCATGGTGATTCCACGGTTTCGAGATTGGTTTAGGCCTGGTTTATGCGGGCCTAAAGATTTTAATATTTCTGTTTATTAACATAAGCATGACAGAATATAACAGAAGCATTGAAATCCTATAGTTGAACTGTACTCCAATTCCGGCATAAATTAACAGTTATTACCCGCATAAACAAGGCCAAAACAAGGCCTTATGGCTTCGTGAGATCGAAACTTGACCAATCGGAAGTTCGCTGAACTCGAGTTCGTACTTACCCGCTCCGATTGGCTGACATCCAATTCGATGTCAACTGCTCCGGTGTGACACGGGCTTTGCGGTTTATTTCAATCCCAACACCTTTTCGCCTTCTATTCGCGATCGCGCGTTCGTGCGAAACAGCTTGGATGTCGGCGGCTTACTGTGGGAACAGTTCGCGACGAATCGGAATTCCGAGTGCGGTCGAGCATTGTCCCGCCAAGCGCGCGAGGTTCTCATTCACAATCGGCGTTTTGGTGTTTACGAAGCGGATAACCGCACGTTCTCTCACACGCCCAGATGCATTGATCACGTATCTCTCGCGAAATTCCAAGGGGAACAACAATCGAGATCGGTAGCGAGATCGCGCCGTAAGTATATATCGCGCGATTCTCTTGCGCGTATCCGCGCGTACGCGCAAGGTTTTTCAATTTTTTTCTCGATATTCTCCTCTCTCCCTAGGACTAGGGCGTACTCTCTGCGATTTTGTTTCCTGTCGTGGAATTGCACGCGAGAGCAGCCGTGAAAAATCGCGAGTGAGACCGATCTCAGACCCAAGTCCCAACTCCCGTGCCCCAGACGATGGCCGAGTCCAGTGACTTGGATCGGCAGATCGAACAGCTGAAGAAGTGCGAGATCATCAAGGAGGCGGAGGTGAAAGCTCTGTGTGCCAAAGCTCGGGAGATCCTCATCGAGGAGAGCAATGTGCAGCGTGTGGACTCGCCAGTGACAGTAAGTATATCTTTCTCGAGGAAGTGGCCGATCTTTTTTTCGGAACGAAAAGAGAATCGATTCGCCGTGTTGTTGTTGTTTTTCTTCTTTTTTTTTTAGGTTTGCGGTGATATCCACGGCCAGTTTTATGATTTAAAAGAATTGTTCAAAGTAGGCGGGGATGTGCCGGAAACAAATTATCTCTTTATGGGAGACTTCGTAGACAGAGGCTTTTACAGTGTCGAAACGTTCCTTCTTCTCCTCGCATTAAAGGTACGGACATCGAGAGAGTTTGAGGAACTACGACTTGTTGACGTGTGAAACAAAAGTGTTTTTTTTTCTTTTACAATGTGTATTACACGTTCTTATTGCAGGTCCGTTATCCCGACAGAATTACACTGATAAGAGGGAATCACGAATCGCGACAGATAACGCAAGTTTACGGATTTTACGACGAGTGTTTGCGCAAATACGGTAGCATAACAGTGTGGAGATACTGCACAGAGATATTCGACTACCTCTCGTTATCCGCCATCATCGATGGCAAGATCTTTTGTGTTCACGGCGGATTGTCGCCCAGTATCCAAACCTTGGATCAAATTCGGACTATAGATAGGAAACAAGAAGTAAAGTTTCTTCGATTTTTACTCGCTGCGATGTTTTGTTGTAGCGACAACAAGATCTAAAAAAGTTTTTTCCTGTCGAGACTCGATTCAATTTTTTTTTCAAAATCTGGTCGATGACGCAGGTTCCTCACGACGGACCAATGTGCGATTTGTTGTGGTCGGATCCCGAGGACACGCAAGGTTGGGGTGTGTCGCCCCGTGGTGCCGGCTATCTCTTTGGCAGCGACGTAGTTGCGCAGTTCAATTCCGCCAACGACATCGACATGATTTGCAGAGCCCATCAGTTGGTGATGGAGGGCTACAAGTGGCACTTTAATGAGACTGTGTTGACAGTTTGGTCCGCGCCAAACTACTGTTACAGGCACGTAATTCTCATGTATTTATTCTTGTATCTTTTTTTTTTCCTGGTTTCTTCCAGAAGGAAATTTTAGACACTCCGTTACTCAAATTAAATCTTTCTCACGTTTATATATTTTTTAAATATTTTCTTTTAAATCTTTTTACATCTAGGTAACTCCAATTTCTCATCAACTTACTCGAAGTGTTACACATTTATCAAAAATATGTCGCCTGTTCTTATCACAGTTATCTCATCTTGTTTGCCACTTGTGTAAAAACTCAAGATGTTACAAAAAGAATTTAAACATAATATTTAAACATAATTTTCTGTACATTTGTTTTTCGCATTGCAGATGCGGCAACGTAGCCGCGATATTGGAACTGAACGAGCATCTGCAGAGAGACTTCACGATATTCGAAGCTGCGCCGCAGGAAAGCCGCGGCATACCTAGCAAAAAACCGCAAGCAGATTACTTTTTATAAATTTGAACTGGTGTACAAAAGAAATCCCATCACACAGAATCGCATCGACATGGTATTTGCTCTTTTCTATCTTTCTTTTTATCTCTTATACAATTTTCTCCCTTTCTCCTCGCCCCTTTCTCCCGAGTAATTTGCGCCAAAAAAAAAAAAAAAAAAGACAGCTTGCTGAGTCTCGTGACAAAAACAGGAATTTTTGTCATTTTTATGTTCGATCGTTAACGATAATATAAAGTATATAAATATTTGAATATAGAATTGCGATGTGTACAATGAACTGATGTAAAATAAAAAGCTCTCGTATCTCTCTTTCTTTCTCTCTCTCGTAAGTTAAGGCATGTTGCAATATCAATGCGTGATTCAAATTTTTTTAAAAATATACTTAGCGCTAACTAAGTCGTCTCTGAATGCTCGTCATCGCGTCATGACTGGCTAGATGTTGCGACACCAAATCGAACCGTTCGGAGAAGCAGCACCAGACGTGTCAACGTGATTCCACCGTTTTTATGATGCATCACGTCGTATATATACATAATAATATAAAATATATATTTAAAACACAAAAAAGAATAAACTCAACATGTCATTTGCGTTTTTTTTTTTACAATTCACAAAACACTTTGCTCGTCTCTTTTCTCTCAGCGAAGGAGGTTTTAGGAATCTGAAAAAAGACAAGCAAGTGCGAAAGAAAGGTGACGATTAATTAAAAAATGCTTCGCACGATACTTGGCTTTTGTATAAATTAAGAGAAGCTTACCATGTCAAGTAGTGTATGAATTGTTTGTTTCGCTCGTCTCAATTTGCGTTTCAACAGTGCGTTTGACGACTTCAGCTCTTTGACGATCTCCTTCGTTCTTTCCAACTCCCTCTTGTGATCGACAATCAGAGGAACGCAGTAGGTATGGTCTCGCTCTACATTCGCTACAACAACCTCCCTGTTGGTTGGAGAACTTTTGCTATGACATTCATTTGCTACAACAAGTGATACATTCAGTACTGTTGTCAATACGATCTCGTAACACGTTTTTGCTAGCCATACGTGAGATTTAACGCTACGAAGCCTAAGTAAATACGGAAGATTGATTGCAATTCTGGAATTTTAAAAACGGTATTTACTGGTTGCCGCCACCATTTTGTGTATATTAAAACGTTCTGTCACAATCGGTGGTAAATTGTTCGTGCGATAAATCACTAGCGATTTCATCGTGTCGTTATTGATGAGAATAGCTGCTGTTGCGTCGTTATTAACAGCCGGTTCGGATACGTCATCGTCAACGCAATTCCCAGCTGGCTTAGTTGCGTTATTACTGACGGCGAATTCAATTTCTTCTTCAATTTCTTCTAAACGGTTGAAAGTTCATCTCGTTACACATGATGTCTTCATTTCTCTGAACATTTTGTTATTTGTTTTTTTTTTTTGTAAAGAGCACATTTTGCAACTCGCAATTACCTTTATTTATGTAAGGAATACTGCCGGATATCAAACGTCTTCTCTTGCCGGGAATGATACACGATTTTTTGAAGTGATCCGAACAGATCAAATCGTTTTGTTTCGGCTCGAAGTTGATCAGATTCAAACGTTCTAGCCAAACTTTTTTCAGCTTTTCGCATTTTGGGAAGCTATAAAAAGAAATATACGCAAAAATATACATGATGTAAAGAAACGTGTTCCTCGCGTCATTCGCGTACATATATATATATATATATATATATAATATATATGTTTTGATGGTGAGAACTGAGGTTAATTCGCAACTATACGCGCGTAAGAGAAGAACAGTTTTGCGCAAGTTTCAATAGAAAAGATGGTTTATTTATCTCTTACTTGTGAAAACTCAAATGCGTATGATCTTTTTGATATTTTCTACATATAAGGCATGGTGTATTCACCATTGTGTAATAAATAAACATCAGGGATTCGCACTAGTCCGCATTGTCCGCAATTTTCAACACCTAAACATGTCCGACCGACACCGACACGTTACCAAAGTTGTCAACAATGGTTGGCAGACTGGCCAACAGATCGATGGCGAAGAAAAATAACTGATTATCACGGGTAATACAGCACAGAATAGAAAACAAAACGCTTGTAAACATGGCTACGTAGGTAGGTGCCAATGCGCACCACCGCGGACATAGCGCTAGCGAACAGGGCGGAAAAGCGATAATCGCTAACCTGGGATCGTGGCTGCTCTTCAGTCTTTTCTCTGCACGCGGTGTTTTTTGTGTGCTTTGTGAAGATATAGAATCATTGTTTTATACACACAAAAGTAGAGAGAGAGAGAGAGAGAGAGACAGAGAGAGATAGATAGAGAATTGACATATATATGCATATTCATACTCGAGTGACGTTTTGCGCTAAAGGTGAATTTATACATATTTCTATTTGCAGATTTTTTTTCCATTCTTATTCAAAAGTTCTTGAGGTAAGAATTTGTCACTTTTTATGGTTATGTTTTTGCATCAAAAATATTACTTTCCCGTATCTTACATTTTTTTATATGTATTGTAGATAAAATTATTATTCAAACTAGCTTTGTACAATTGCGAATCAAAATCGTTTGTAATCCTGTTTACATAGCGTTAAGATTCTAGATCTCTAGTGAAAATAGATACGATCGGAAGAGCGAATCACACAATATTGTGCTTGTGTTGATTTGTTTTTAATGATAAATTTTATATTTAACAGTTCACGTATTGGCAGTAATATATTTTTGAGTTTATGATACTTGTTAGATTTTTCTTACATTTGTAAAATAGTAATCAACAAAAAAAAACAAAAATATTTCGTATATAATACATACACACATATATAAACAAAAGAGATAGAAAATATATAAACAAACAGGTTGGCATCAAATTGATTTCTTGTGTGTAAAACTGAAAAACCCAAGAAAACAGTTTCCATTGCAGAATTTGTGCATTATGGTTGGCAGAAATTTTTTCACCATCTCCAGATTTCAGACAAAGAAAACAGAAATAGATTGCTTTTCAACAATTGGAATGAGATTGGAATATGTGTTTTCTGAATTGAATCTCATTTGTATTTTAGTGATCATTTGTTTCTGCAGAAAGTATCATTGAGTGATTCTCTAGTCTTATATTTTTTTGTGGAAACATGCAGAATAATTTGCAATTCTATTGCAACAAGAATTCTTTAACTTGCGCCAACATTATCTGTCATATGTAAATAGTATAGCTTATTTCTTTTGTGAAAGTCAGTGTGTTATATACAAGACAATAATTTAAGTAAAACATGTGTGTGTATATATGTTTAAATTTTTTTGTAAACTGTAGGTTTCTTGATGTTATCTGCATGAAGAATGTTATACTCCTGCAGTTCTAGTCTTGTTATATTTTAGAATTCTCAGATATATTTGTCTTGTTTTCTACTTTGTGTTTCTTTTCTGTATAGGTGTAAGAGAAAAATAAAAATGAAACGGAGCAAATCTCTTTCTCCCGAGCCATCCAGCAGCGAGGCAAAGCGAGTAAAACTAGAAGTCACAGATTTAAATGGTGCAACATCTCCAAACATTCTTGAATTCTCAGATGATGTTCTGCTTTACATATTGAAATACTTAGATCCACAGGATCTTATGACTCTCAGTTTGTGAGTTATATTTTGGTTTTTATGTATTTTATAAAATTTTTTATGATGCCTCTTTTATTTTGTTTTACAATTTATTTTTGTTTTGAATCATTGTAGATGTTGTCAAAGATTTGCACGATTAACACAAGACAGAACTTTGTGGAGAAACGTAGACTTTCGTACACAGCCTATGGTTCTGGATGACTTTGACAAATATACAAAATTTTTACAACCAATGACAACAAGTTTGGCAATACGTGGTGATTTAGTTTCTAACAATACAGTTCTTACACAAAGTTTTCTCAAGAATGTGAGAACACTGTGCAAGCAACTTAAAGAATTGATAATTGAAGATTATCATATAAACGGAGATAAGGTATTACATATGTATATAATATATTGTAAATATTACAAGAGTATAATGTAATATTTATAATATTATAAAATATATAATATATAATATTTTATATCTTTATTTTCTTTTATTTCTATTTTTTCTACTGAACCAAAACTTACTTAATTTATTTTATAATTGCTTCTAGATTCCGATAACAGATTTTCCAAGTACCATTGAGAAACTGTCACTAGAAGGTTGTGAAATGGATTATGCGCAACAAAATAAGTCCTATTTCTTTAAAATGGATCTTCACATGCCAAATTTAAGAGTAAGGAAAGATCTTGGTATAAATGTGTGAATTGTGTGGACAACAATTGTGCATTAAAATCTTAATTTTCAGTGTTTGATTTTGAACTTTTGTGACTGGTTTACGCCACATTCTTTACTGGTTATTAGCAAAATTCCAAAACTTACAGAACTTAGACTGTATTCATGTTCCCGTATGGGTGAATGTGTTGCGTACGCTAGTTTAGCAACTAGATTTGGATTTAAAACACTAGAGGTATGATATTTTACTTTTTTGCATTATTGATTGATCACCGTGTTCACTGTTATTGGAAAAAACTCATTTCAACATTTTGTTTTGTTTTTTTAGATTTTAGATTTACGAAATACAGGAATTGGAGACAGCGAAGTCGGTTGTTTCAGTAGCACTAAAAGTTTACAACACCTGTACTTAGAATGCCCGGAACATTTAAGAGAGGAGTCACCCGAAATCATTCAACGTCAACAACAACAGCGTCAACGGCAGGCAAACGCTTTGCAAATGCCTGCAATCTTTGAAGATGATCATTTAGCACAAGTATTTATAACAAAACCTCTATTTACATAATATTCATAAGAATTAATCATTTTTCTGAATTTGCAACATATTGTAAAAATAAATTCTATTCTGATTCAAGTTTCTAGTTGAGGATGAATTTGTTTTTGAGAGAAATTATTCGATGCGATGTTTGGTATCGGATAGAGCAATCTGTGCACTTGGAAGTGATCTCTGTGACAGAAGAGTGATAAATAGTTCCCCAGAAGGAATGATAATAGCCCAAGAAGAAAAACAAGTTTCCAATAATCCAAATTTGAAGACACTAGTGGTTAGGTGAGTTATCGACTAGTATTATAAAAATTACAAAAAAAAATGATTGAAAAAATATGTAAGTTTGCAAAAATATAACAATAATAACAAGTTCTTATTTGTTAATCTTTTTCTTTTCCAGACATTATCCACGCGTTACGAATTCGAGTCTCACTCATTTGGCTTTCAACGTATCGACATTGGAATATTTGGACGTGACTGGTACCTCTGTGACATCAGAGGGCATCGAAGCTTTTAAGTCAGAACGACCTTCTGTCAAAATTGTCTCATCGTTTATGACATAGTTAAAGTTATATAATGTTTAGAACGATTTAGTGACAAATTATATATTTTTAATGCTCTTGCTTGAGGAGTCTATTCACTGACACTGCAAACAGATCGCGAAAGGACATTTTGAAGGTTTGAGCGCGACAGCGAAAGAAAAATTGTTACCAATCTCTTGAATTATATCACTTACATATTACGTCTATATTAATAATCATAATTTTAAAGATAATTTTACTGAAAAATTATTAATTTTAAGTATTCTAAGGATAAAGAAATTTTCATTTATCATTTGTATTATTAGTATATAAAAACAGATGCAGAGTGAATGTCTGTTAGCGTTCCATATCTACATTCTTGATATGTGAATTTTACAAATATGTTTTCATTCTGATGGTAGTAGCATTTAAGAAATTTATACTAATAATCGTATATATATATATATGTATGTATATATATATATATATGTATATATGTATATGTATATGTATGTGTATATATATATACACATATACATATAGTATATTGCTTCTCTTGTAAGAATATAAAAGATGCGATTTTTTATATCACTTATCTAAAACAAATGATACTACGCGGACAGACGTGACAAAATTTTAAACGTAGAACAGTGGAAAAAAAACTATAATCAAGTGTAATGTAAGTAGTAGCATTTTAGTGAATAAACTCCTTAAGAGTTAAATATATACAGTAATACTTTGTTAAACGAAGAATTTCGGATTTGGAAAACCTCGATTATAACAAGCAGATAAGTCATAAGTTACCAACCGCTCGAGAAAGGAAAAAATAGAAAAAGAAAAATGAGCATGACAGAGCAATCAGTCGCTGTGCCACTAGTGAAAAAAAAAAAAAAACAAGGTCGCTCGTAAATTTTATGACCGACCTTTTTTTGGTGTAGTTGAATAGAAAGATCTTTTCTTAACAGAGAACTACTGTGCATATCGTTTTTAAAACGTCAATATACTTTTGTACGTAGCATACATGCTAATTATACATATTCACTAACAGTTACCTAAGAAAACATTTCTTACGTGCAAGTTTTGCGTGTGTTAGCATATAAACTTATACGAGATTTGCATGGATTTCTGTTCACGAAACATATATTTTTTTCGTGTATATAGCACGCAGTAGTAAAATATCCAGAAAAAAATTTTGCGCGAATAAAGAGTATTTCTGCCAAATCACGCACAAAGATGATCTATGATTAAAGAAAATCTTATCTCTCAGTGCGTCATCGTGTATATACATGACCAGCAAAGTGTTATCTGGATTATTAAATTCATTCTACTGGATTATTAATTTCATTTAATTATTATTTCTATAGTATTTTATTTATTTTATGTGTTGTTATATTGTCACATTTCTTCTTTTTTCTATTGTTTTTATTGTATTACTTACACACTTGCGATATATACTATATAAATTTATATTTGTTATTGCTGTGTAAGATTCTTCCTAAGTTAATGAAAATAGCCAATTATAATTATGTAAATTATAATGTGAAGATATGCGTAAATGTGGCATTGCAAAATACTATAAAATATTCTTTTGTGCATGATTACAAGTACACCCACGCACACAAAGTGCTATTGCATATATTAGAAAGATGTATTGATGTGATGTTGAGTGTACATATATGTGTGCGACGTATAGTGTTTAATTTTGTTATTCAATTGCGTGTTGTTATTCAATTTTGTAGTGTTGTCTTTAAATTATTAGTATATAAAACGCGTATACACATCACACACATATATATATATATATATATATATATGTGTATGCGCTAAAAAAAAACTAACTGAATTCTAAATAACACACACAACATCATCTTTGTTTACATAATTTAATTTTTCTACATTTAAAATATGTTATATAGATTTTATTGTGTATACTTGCCTATAATAAAAACAAACTGTGTACATACAAAATATATGTACCCTCGGTCGATATGACATTTCTTAACCTCATCAGCTTTAGCGCTTAATTCGTTGTTTTGTAGGGCAGAGTGACAGGTTTTCCTGCCAGATTCTTTCGTTTTTTTAGACTTAAAAGAAAATACTAATTGTAAATATATAATTATGTCAGATAATAATATTACCTTGCCAAAAGCTCCGAAAGATTTGTGCTTTTGCGAGCTTGATTTTATACAGGTAATGTGTGATGTCTTATTTTATAGTCCACTAGCTGCTGTGACATTAAAGAGAAACGTAGTATAGAAAATTTAATATATTTTTTGTTTTTGTAGGAAAATTTCGATGTCGATACTTTCTTGCAAGATCACAGGAAAAGTGGTAAACTAGAGACGATACGAGATGATCTTGGCATGTACTTGAAATTGCTTAGGTCCGCAATGATTGATTTGATCAACAGAGATTACACAGATTTTGTGAATCTGTCCAGTAATTTAATTGGTTTGGACAAAGCTATCAATGACTTGCAAGCTCCTCTTGGACAGCTAAGAGAGGAAGTTATGGTAAAATTACAGTTTTTGTTTTTGTTGTTTCTTTCTTTTAACAGTGTTTATAAGATTGCTTAGAAATTGTTGTATACTAAATATTTTGTAGACTTTTTGTTTGCTAATAAAAAAAAAAACTTTATTAACAGCAAGTTCAACAAGCTTTAAACGATGAGATTACAGCTATTTCAACTAATCTTAATGAAAATATGAGAATAAGAGAATATAAACAAAGTGTGTACAGTTTGCAACATGTGTACAAGTCATTGAAAAAACTTTCTTCTGTATTATCTGTGAAAACGTTTATGGAAACTCCTACAAAAATTGATGTTTTGGAACAGGCTGCAATTGAATTAAATCAATTGAAATTTCATATATCTAGATGTAAATCGACAATTTCAGTTGACCATGAAAAGGTAAAAATAAAAGTATGATATGTAATAAAGGAACATGCTATAGAGATATAATTGTGTTGTAATTGTATCAATTTATTTTGTAACAGGAGAGTATAGAATTAGAAAACTTGTACCTAACTTGTCTGAACGAATTATTCTTGGCGTGTATGCAAGAGAAGAATTCAAATTTGGAAATTCGTTGTCTTCGAATTTATCTCACACTTAATAAAATAACTAATGCAGAAGAACTTGTGCGACAAGAGCTTGTAAGACCGTTAATTTATAATGTGGTTAATGAGGAAAATCTTCAAAGTGATCCGCTTGGTTTGCAAAGTATTTATCACAGACTATTGAACATTCTAAATGTGGAACTAAAACAGCTGTTAGATATCACGCTATGTCCTGATAGGTATGTTTTTTTAATTTCTATTTAGTGATAGTCATAATTAATTTTGAGACGAAGATTTTATTACTGCGCTTCGTTCTGTAGAGAGAAAGATTTTGGTCTGGATATCAGAGAAAATCCTATAGAGTTCTCTATTGATAAGTCAAATCTTTGTTATACAGAAAGAACACGCAGCAATGAAATTTTAAGATTAAAATATATATGATAATATACGTGTATGTTATTATTGATATGTTACAGAGTATCCGTAAAAGGATTTAATTTTTTAGTAAACAGTTTTTGGATTGAAGTTGAAGAAAAGATTGAACAGTACATAAAATCTATTTTTGCTCCAGGAGATCCAGTACTATTTCATAAAGTAAACAAATTATTGTTGAAAAATTGTAAATAAAATACATATCCAAGATAAATCTTTCAAATATCACTTTTTTTCAGAGATACACAGCCACATTAGATTTCTTAACAAAATTGGAAGCAGCTTGTGTTACACCTGAAACTTTGATGGCACTGAGGAATCATCCACAATACAAAACTTTTCTCAAGAAATGGAATTTACCTGTATACTTTCAAATTCGATTTCAAGAGATAGCCGGCCTCGTGGAAACAGTATTAGCCGAACCGATATCACCAAACTCAGTCAAAGGCAGTCTTGTTACACTGACACAGGAAGAGTTTTCGCTTCACGCCACTTGCGCAGTTTGGGATAATTTGTTGAGGATATGGACCGACGATATCTACTTGTATCAATTGTTTCATAAGTGAGGAAATTTTCTATAATTTTCTTCTTTTAACAAAATGCTGTCAGTTATTTAAAGCTTTGTCTTGCTTGTTATAATTGTATTGAATTCCTGCTTATCGCTGTGTATTAATTGATGTCAATTTGTAATGTTTCAGATTTTGGAAATTAAGTCTTCAGATATGCTCAAGGTATCAAACCTGGTGTCAAAATGCGACAAAACAGGTATGATTTGTTTATGTGCTAACTAACGATTTGTATTCAAACCAAGACTTTTGTATTTAAAGGTATGGCCGATAATAAATGAAACCAATTCAAGTGATTCAAAACATTCCACAAGATTAAATTTTTTAGTATATTTGTACAGTGATGTGGAAAAACTGGTAAAGGCGCTGCCATCTTTTTTACAAATGGTACAATCCAAAATCAATAATGAGAACATTACTAAATCAAAATTGCTAGACGGTAACATTCTCATGAAGTATTAAAATTGATTTTATACAATTTATATATACATTGTATATATATATCTTTTATGTTGATTTGTCATGTTACAGATTCTCTGAGTGAGACATCGAAGAATCTAGCGAATTTATTACCTTCACTTACGCAAGAGATTGTGAACGAGCTCTCGGAACAATGTGTAGTACACTTGAAACAAGTCAGCGACATTCCTAGATTATTTAGAAGAACGAAACGAGATGTACCGACTAAACCTTGTCCTTATGTGAAGAGCGCAATGGTTCCTTTTACTAATTTCTATGGAGATTATAATCAAATTATTCCTGAGCTTACTGCTATCTGGTTAGAACTAACTTTGTCTTCGTTAACAAAAAGGTAAGTTGTAATTACGTACATATATCTCCGGAATAGGAGATTCGGCGAACAATAATATTAAAGCTATAAAACTATATCCAGTTAAAAGATTCTCTGGAATGTTTGTTTTTTTTTTATTTTAGTTATTTATTATTTATTACCGACGTGTTAACATCCGTACAAAAAACTGAGGAGAGTTTACGAAGATTGAAGAAGATACGCGACAAATCTACTGGAATTCTTCCTTCGGAGCAACAAGGAACTAGTGACGATGAGAAAATACGTATTCAGCTCAAAGTGGATGTAGACGGTTATATAAATTTGGTAAGATTTATATTATATCTCTCTGTTTATTCACAGTGTTTCTCACAGTTGTACAGGAGTATGTCTCATATTCTTTTGACGGACTTAATAACAGATTATAGTGATTAATACTTAAAAAAATTTTTTTCCAGATCAAGGACCTTGATATCTCAACTACTAAGATATGTCATCTGCAAGAATTGATAGACGCTGTGGAAGCAGCTGTGAAAAAATAAGATTAGTGATTTTGTCTTTATATTTATTATGTAATCACATTGGGTGTGTACATATGTGTAATTAAGAAGAGTTTACTTTGTATGTACACTTTATCTATCACTTACAAGCATTTTTATGTAAATGTCTTTAAGTAGCTTTTTGGTTCTCTATACAGGGTGTTTCAGAACTATGGGATCAAACTTCTAGGGGTTATTCAGTGCAACAGTAGAAAACATTTGAGTATAGGGACCCATGTCCGGAAAAGTGTCACTACCGCACTACGGCCCTAAGACGCGTTAAAATTTAGAAAG